CCCGAATCCGAATGACAAAAATCGTATTAGGTATAATTATTGTGGAAAAGATACTAATGCGGGTATTTACTGGTTCAAGAAACACCTTACCAGTATTCAGGGGCATGTTGCCCTATGTAAAAATGTCCCTAAGGCTACCTGGGAGGAGATTATACAATATTTGAATTCAAGGAAGCACAAAAAGAAAGAAAAAGGTGAAGAGGCACTAAGTAAAGCAGCCAAGACTCCTAGGACCTCATCTGCACAGAGTAAGAGGGAGGTAAAAGAAGTGGAGGAAGAGACAGATTCAGAAGAAACAGAGGAGGACAATCGTTACGTTGAAGAGGGAGATGACTTTGATGATGATGGCATCGAATCTGATGCATATGATGAGGCTTACCCAACTCCTTCTGATGATGGTAATTATGACTAAAAAATGAAGATGCTTGACTCTTGGTGTTGACTATTGAGCTTTAGACTGTATATTTTCTTTTTCTTATTTTTTAGTTTCTAGTTTCTACTATCTAACTGTTGTGTGTATGCTTGTATGGTTCTAGCATTGTATGAAAATATGGATTATGGACTATCTAAATTCTCCTCATTCATGGAAATATAGATTATGGATTATGTGTTATATACTAGAGACATTTTCCTTTCTACTGGGTCGCGCAAGTTCTGGGGGCTCGCCTAGGCGCTGGATGGCCTAGACTACCTAAGTGCCACCCAGCATTTTTTGAAACACTGATTGCGGATGTCTTTACTAGGGCATTGATGAAGATCAAACATTAGTTTCTTCAGGCCAAGGTGTCCACAGATCAAACAAGTGGATTGACAAGGGTTGTTAGGAAGCCATGTCTCGCAATTTTGATGTGCAGGAGCAGTATGGGGCCAATGTTGTAATTTCATAATTGTAAGGGAGTCTAGTTGTAATGTATTCTGTTTGTAAAAGTATTAATGTAATAATATACCCTGATTATAATATATTATACCCTTAGGAAGTCATGTCTTGCAATTTTGATGTGCAGGAGTAGTATGGGGCCATTGTTGTAATTTCATAGTTGTAAAGGAGTCTAGCTATAATATATTCTGTTTGTAATAATATTTACCCTAATTATAATATATTATACCCTGATTATAATATACAAATGGGAAATGAATAGATCATCCCACCAATCTGAAAAGGGTATGAAACAACTTGGAACCTCTCTCTCTCTCTCTCTCTCTCTCTCTACTCTCTACTTTACTTACTACTACCTACTAACGTTAAGTAGTAACGTACGTCCGTCGTACTTCGTACTTAACGTACGTTACTACTACCTAACGTAAA